CTGCGCGCTCGCGGGCGGGCGCCGCCGCCATGTTGAGTGTGGCGGAGTGGGAAGCGGGCGCAACGGGGAGGCGCGGAGCGGGGCGCCGCGCCTGGGCGGGGCCGGGCCCGGCACGTGACCGGGGCGGAGCGCCGCGCAGGCGCAGTGCTGGCGGCCATGGCGGCGCGGCGGCGCGCGGAGGAGATGCGCGAGCGCGTGGTGCTCGGCGAGTTCGGCGTCCGCAACGTGAGTCCGGGCGGCCCGCGCCGCCGCCGCGCCGCCGCCGCCGCCGCGCTCACGGGCGCCCCCTCCTCTGCCCCTCCAGGTGCACACCACCGACTTCCCCGGCAACTACCCCGGCTACGACGACGCCTGGGACCAGCAGCGCTTCGAGGAGGTGGGCGCGGCGCGGAGCGGCCGTTGGCGCTGTCGGTTACCGGCCGTTGGCCGTTGGCGCTGTCGGTTACCGGCCATTGGCCGTTGGCGCTGTCGGTTACCGGCCGTTGGTGCTGTCGGTTACCGGCCGTTAGCCGTTGACGCTGTCGCTTACCGGCCGTTAGCCGTTGGCGCTGTCGGTTACCGGCCGCGCGCGGCCGTTGGGGGGTGCTGGGGTGTCGGGGTGACGCGGCGCGTGTCCCCCGCAGGGCTTCCGCGTGGACGTGGTGCGCGAGGAGGAGGACGCGCTGGAGTTCGACATGGTGGGCATYGACGCGGCCATCGCCAACGCCTTCCGCCGCATCCTGCTGGCCGAGGTAGCGCCCTGGGGCCCGCCGGGGCTTGGGCGCCCCGGCCAGCCCTCCCCTGGCTCTTGCGGCCTGCTGGGTGCTGCGGCAGGGCCTGGGGAYGGGGCCCCGGCCAGAGTGCTGGGCTCTGCATGGAAGCGGGCTCTGTGCTGGGTCTGTCCTCTGTCTGTCTGACCCGTRGAACGTCAAATCTGCCCTAGACGTGAAGTAAAAACACTGTGTGTGTGTGTCAGGGGTCCAGAGAGCAAGGGCCAGAGCTGCACAAGCTCTAGCAGTTGTAGCTCTTTGAGAGYACGGTACTTGGCATCTCTGTAGTGGCTGTAGATTAGCCTGTGCTTCACTTTTCCCGCTCTCATTAATCTTTCGGGATAGAGGGAGATCTCATTCATGCTTGTACTAGGTGGGCTGATTTGACAGAAATACTAGTGAGAAGAGCCTGCGGTGCAGTTATTGATGGGAGGGAAGGAGCAGTGAAAACAAGTGTTCTGGGTGGATATTTTGTTTGTTTATGGTTGAACTGGCGTCTTTTACTGACTTGATCTGTTCTCCTTTCCTTGAGGTGCCAACGATGGCCGTAGAGAAGGTGTTTGTGTACAACAACACATCCATTGTGCAGGATGAGATTCTGGCTCATCGCTTGGGCCTTATCCCTATCCGGGCTGACCCTCGACTCTTCGAGTACAGAAACCAAGGTGAGAAACATGGGTGTCCCTTTGATCGAATAGAAATATTGAGGCTTGCCCTCAAAATAGGAATCCGGGGGTTGAGTAAACTGAGCAGAAATGTGATTCTGCAGAGACTTGTGCAATTCCCTCCTTTTCCAGGAGATGAAGAAGGGACAGAAATTGATACGCTGCAGTTTCAGCTGAAAATAAAATGCAGCCGAAACCCTCAGGCAGCCAAGGAGTCATCTGACCCCAACGAGCTGTACATCAATCACAAAGGTAAGGTCTTGCCACGTCCTAAAAACGCGTGCTCTTTTTCTCTTGGGAGACAGGAGCTGGTCTGTTCTCTGGATCCTATGAGCAGAGAGCGCCCATTCCCTTATTCTGCCCAACCACGTTTTTGCCAGCTGCAGTCCTGCGGCAAGCTGCTTTCCGAGGCTGATGCTTGTGGCTCCTCTTGGCAGTGTACAGCAAACACATGACGTGGGTGCCCCTGGGGAACCAGCCAGACCTCTTCCCTGATGCCGACTTCCGACCTGTGCACGACGACATCCTCATCGCGCAGCTGCGGCCTGGCCAGGAGATAGATGTGCTCATGCACTGCGTCAAGGGCATCGGTGAGTTGTGGCTGGGGGCCAGGGGTGCCCGCGTGCCCGGACCGGGGCACGGGTGTGTGGCGGCGGAGGTGGCTCCCTTGCTCCCTCCTTGGTCATGCTCTTTGCTCTTGTTGTGCGGGGTCTCTCCTCACCCTTGCCCTCTGCGCAGGTAAGGACCATGCCAAGTTCTCTCCTGTGGCCACGGCGAGTTACCGGCTGCTTCCTGACATCACGCTCCTGCAGCCTGTGGAGGATGAGGCAGCTGAGTTGTTGCAGAAGTGCTTCTCCCCTGGAGTCATTGAGGTCCAGAACATCAAGGGTACTTCATTCACTGCTCTAAAGTGCCTTGTTCCTTGTGAGTCTTAGCAGAGAATGATCGGAGACTAGAGCCATGCCTTGTACAGACAAAACCACATTGTGATGTTGTCTTCCTGGTTGGCAGCTGAACTTGGTTTTGTGGATGAGGGGCTGTCACGTGCAAACGTGTTTGTGGGTGAGCTGGGCTGGGTGCTGAGGTACTGCATGTCTGTCTGCAGAGCCCTGGGGCTGCCTACTGCAGCTTCCGAGCRTTGTGTGTCAGACTGGGCAGTGGGCAGCTGAGTGTGGGGTGCTTGGGTACAAGTTTTGGGTTTGTGCTGGAGCTGCACATTTATCGTGTCAGAGTTTTGTGTTGAGGATGTGCTAATTCTTTACATATGTGACTTCCCAGCCTTTGCTGGTGGGTGAGCGCTTGTTTGGGGTGTCCTTGGGTTGTGGGATGTGGGTGTTGCTCTTTGCTGCTTCTGCCCAGCTTGTTTCATCTCCTTTGCTTTAGGAAAGAAAGTGGCAAGAGTAGCAAACGCCCGGCTGGACACGTTCAGCAGGGAGGTTTTCCGTCATGAGAGTCTGAAAAACCTCGTGCGCCTGGCCAGAGTGCGGAATCATTACATCTGTAAGTGAGCCCTTCTGCTCGGAGCAGGGAGCCTTTCTGCTCTGTGCAGCATGAGCAGAGACGGGGCCTGCACTGCTCTCTGCCCTCCTTGCCCTTCCCCAGTCGTTAGCTCTGGTGTGTTTGGCGCCAGTGGGTGATGGCTGAACCTGAGCTTGGGTGCTGTTTCGGTGCGTGCCTCTTGCTGGCTGCTGCTGTAACCTCTCTGCTTGGGGGGTTTAGCCCGACAGGAGCGCCGTGTACGGGCAGGGGCAGAAGGGCTGCAGGCAGCTGCAGGCTGAGGCGCGTGGCGGTGCTGACTTGTGTCCCTGCAGTTTCAGTGGAATCCACGGGCATCCTGCCTCCCGACGTGCTGGTAAGCGAAGCCATCAAGATACTGATGGGGAAGTGCCAGCGCTTCCTGAATGAGCTGGACTCTGTGCCCATGGAGTGAGCGGGCTGCGGCCGAGAAGTACAACTCTCCACTGCTGCCTTGGACTCCATCTTCCTCTGCAGGCAAGAGCTCTGGGATCCATCTGCTTGTTAGATTCCCAGGACCATTGGACCATCTCCTTGTGTTTGTTTTGTGTTTGTAATGAGACTTATTGAGGAGAAGCCCTTAAAGGCTTTATTTTTTAATGGTTATGTGCCTCTGTACTGTTAGCAGTTATAAACCCTAATATACAGAGAAGAAAGTGCCAGCAGGCCTAGAGATGAGTGGGACAGAAACAGCAGTGTCCTCACAGGCAGCATTTGGCCCCCATACCAGGRCTGTCCTCTGCTATTGTGCTATCTTGAAGACTCAGGCTCTGCTTCCAGGTTTTTTCCAGACAGCAGGTAACTGGTGGGAAACTGGCTGCTTCCCTGGCAAGGGCAGCACAGCGGGTGCTTCCCCCATGTCTTTGCTGGCTATTGCACTACCCCGTCTCTGTGCTGCAGAACCGACCATCCTGCGGGACCTAATTTCATTCTTCTTAAGGGTGTTGGGGTCAAACAGCCAGGCTTCCCTTCCGCAGTGCCTGGCTCAGCGCTCCTGCCGCCGCAGCGCTCCCTCGGGCCCTCGCTTGCCTGGGATGAAGCCAGCCCCATGGCACAGTGCTTGGCCCATGCGTGTGAGGAGTCAGCGGGGCCGGCACTCACCTCCAGAAACTTCCTTTGGCCCAGCACTGGGGTTAGGAGTTCCTCACCTTCATCCAGGTTTTACCACTCCTAGTAATTTATAAAGTATTATTTTATAAAGTAYAGAATTTATAAAAGTAGTAATTTATAGTTGGACCAGTTTAACCAAGTGGGAAGCAGCTTCCCATGTGAGCTGGATTGCAGCTTGGRCCTCAGGAGAAGATTTTGTAGCAGGCAAGTAGCAAGTGAAAGGTGTTCAGGTCTTGGAGGTCTTCTGCTCTGGTTAGTTGTAAAGGAGGATTTTCTTGCAAGAACAAAACAAATAATCTTCTAGGGTGACCGAAAGGGTAAGCTGAGAGAATTAAGGCTGAACAGCTCAGCTACAGCACTGCTGCTAGCTCTTCCTCCTGGAAACAGCTATGGTGAAGCTTGGAGGCTACAGCAGCAGCCTAGGCAGCTTTCTAGGGCTTTCTTTGGTTATTCCAGAGTATTTCCTAGCCACCAGCACTAAATACCTGTATTTACATAGAATTTCTTGTTTGGTACATGTTGAATGGAAGTTAGGGAAGAATTGACCCTGATTGATCACTAATAGGTGTAGGAATGTCATTCAAGCTGGAGCGGTTTAGAAAGCTTCCAACCACAGAGAACAAAAATTCCTGTGAGAACACCAGGATCTTCTAAGAGGCAGCAAAACGTGGGATGACCCAAGCCCGCTGCTTGGGAAACAGTGATGCAGCAAAGCAGCATCCTGGAGGCCAAGCTCATCTCTTTGCCCTACTTCAGTCAACCTTATCCCAGTGGAAGAAAGAGAGGAGAAAGAACTCACTCCTTAACCCTGACGAGGGAGAGGGAGGCTGCCAGCTCCTACGGACGGATGCTCCTGAGGTACCACAAACCCTTTATTAATGTGTCCTTACAAGCCCCTGCATTCAGCGTTAGGCAGTGACCCTGGAACGTGCCCTTCCTGGCAGTTTCAAGGTGTGCTTTGTCTGCTGTAGCCATGTCCAAGGGTTCTTCTCTGTAAACATGTACCCTTCCAGCTTTGAGCTCACCCGCTGCAGTAGAGAAACYAGCTCTGACAGATCAATTAATACTTGTAAATATATATTTTTCCTTGTCTTCTAATTTATTTAGGTAGGGTGGGAGGGTGCATCCCCMTCCTGTCAGCATGTGACCATTCCCCGTTTACACTGATCCCTAGCAAAGGTGCCTCCCGTGTAGCAGATGGGATAAGGAATGAATGAGCCTTAGAAAGGCTGCAGCTTTTTTGGAAGCAAACTGAATAACACGCAACAACACCACGTGTATGAAACTGGAATAGCTTTACTGACATTCAGAGGTGTAACACAATCAGTTCAGAGACAGCTTCAGATTTAAACATTCCTACAAAAAAGGTTCTAAAAACCATTTAAAAAACCCCTTGTGTCTAGCATGAAGTCACAGAATGTTAAAAATGCCACAACACAATAAATACACCCAGCCTTTGCTAAAGCCAGGAGTTATGTTAGCTGAGGAGTCTAAAAAAATTGAGGCCAGGAGAAAGTGCGAGGGCTGCTGGAAGAGCAGGGTGAGGGCAGGTCCCCAGGCCGGCTCTTGCCCTCAGCCCCTCCACGCTCTTCAAGCCCAGCTTTTCTGTCCAGTCCACCCGAGCAGGGACACCACCTTTGTCCCTCTCATGATTTCTTTCTTTCCCTGTCTCGGGGAGGGCAGGACTGCCAGCTGGACAGCGTTGCAGCTCCTGTACCCCTGTGCTAGCGTTGTAGTAGATTGAGTGAATCAGTTACTGCGTGAGAATAACCAGTTCTGGGGCCTGGAGTGGTTTGTAGGTTCCCACCTCCTCCAAAACCCAGTTTCTGGCCAGCCTTCCCCCTGTGACCTGCATTAGGAAACCTGCCTGCCTCCCTCCCTGCGGCCAGGCCCTGCAGTCCTCTGACAAGTAGCAGACCGGGTGAAAACAGACGCTGCTGCCACCTCCACAGCACCAGGCCACCCTCATCCCTTCGGGGCGCAGGTGTGGCAGCTCCTGCTCCAGATTCTGTTGACCTGCACACTTAGCACACCGTGCCACCAGGCACGGAGAAAAATACTGCTGTCCTGCTCCTGGCACGGAGCAACAGCCTTCCCTCAGGCTTGGGGCACAGCAAGACCCATGAACGTATGTGAGGACAGTGCCTGCCTCCCTGCAAAGAAAAGCTGCACCTTAAGACTGCAAAGGCTGGCGGGCACCCAGCCCAGGCCCGCAGCGTCCATGGGGGAAAAGGAAGCAGCAGCAGCAAGTCCACTAGGGACGAGTACACAACGGGAGTGTCTGATGTGCTCCCTGCAGAGCGTGGTGACCTGAGCAGGACTAGGGCAGCCCCCCTTGCAGACAGGGGCTCTTCTGCCTTTTGCATGACTCCTCACCACCACGGGCTGAAGAGGGGGAGCTGGAGACACCCGGGGCCAGAGCATGGCCAGGCTTTACCTGACTGAGGCTGTGGGCTCAGCTTTCCCCCTGCGGAGAAGCAGAGATGGAGAGCGGCCAACGCTCAGAGGGGAGGAGAAGGAATCAGAAAAGCTTAATGGACTGGATRCAGTGGCACCCCAGCACCCTCCGCGTGTAGGGAGGGCAGGACCTGTAAGGGGCTTTATTCAGGTAAATGCTTGTGGAGATGACAGGTAGAACCTAATGTGCTTACTATGAGGAGAGACAAGGGGAAGAGATGGTTGCAGCATCCCTGCATCAGGGCTCAAAGAGCGTAGTGAGGCCCTCTCCATCCTCATTTTCTAGCATGTCTGTCTCCAGTGATGGCTTCACCTTTTTGAAGAGAGATGGGAGGTTCCGGATATGAACTTCCTTCCGGAACTGCTCCCCGAGGGACTTCTGCAGAGGACACACAGGCTTTAGTCACTGTCGCCTTCACAGGCCCGCTCAGCCCCACAGCTGCCCCCCTGCACCACCAGGGCATGAGCAAGCCCCGGCCCCATGCCACCACATGGCTTCTGGGCAAGCTTGGGCTTGGTCTTTCCAAGGCACTGCAGCATCTCAGTAAAGGCTGCTGCAGACTGCAGTGCACTGCTGTGCCTCAGCACCTCAGACTCCAGCCTCCCCAGAGACCTGCAGCTCTCCCACCGAGCAGCGTCCCAGCCCCTGCTACCACGAGTGGCCAAATACCCACTGCTGCTGCTGCTGGAGGYCTGCTCCGCCTGGGTTACCATCCCCAGCCCTCACTCCCTCTTGAAGAGACCCAATAAGATACTCTCAGTATTCCTGAGAATTGCTTGTGCTGCAGCAACCTCCTGTTTGGAAAGGGACCTGCTCGGTACCGTTAGACTGGCTTCCCAGGCACAGCTGGGGGCTGTCAAAGGAGCCAGGATATCACCTACCCCAATGCAGCCCGCGATGAGGCGCTTGAAGTGATCCTTCCGGCGCTTGTCTGCCACTTTCTGCAACGTTGGGTTGAGAAGTTTTGACTCAAACTGCTCCAAAGATTCCCTCTGGAGGTCTGGGATCTGCTCCATCACTACCTTGAGCTCAGCRTAGCGAGGACGCTGCAGGGAGAAGGAGGGTGAGGATGGCTCTGCCARGGGAGCTGTCCTGCCCTCCCGAGGAGCCGTCAGCTCCACTGCTCCAGCACCCCAGGCACCCTGCCCGAGAGCCCGGCTTCTCACCAAGGCCTCGTAGATCTGGAAGGCCAAGTGGACCAGAGCTGCCATGCAGCCGTCGTGCTGCCCGTGCATCTGCAGCCCCCTGAGCACGCTTGTGAAGAACCAGGACACGGCATCGGGTAGCAGGTTTCCGGCGAGCACCTGGGGARTGGGCACAGTCAGCACAGGAGGATACCGATACTCCGCTGCCTCTGTCCAGCACTTTACTCTTCCCAAAGGAGAAGGTGCTCCGGGATGAAGCAGCCTCGTCTCTCCCTGCACTCAGAGCTGCCTCTCCCCGCTGTGCAGAACTAGTCCCGCTCTCCCTCTCCCCCCGAGGCACCTGCTTGAGCAGCGGCCAGCAGAGCTGCGTGGTGGTTCTTTGGCACGACAGGGTATCCTTCCAGGAGAGGGACGTGTAGGCAGTGATTAACATGGCAGTGCAAACATCCTGAAAAGGAGTCAGTAGGTGAAACAGGCACAASAATTATTTCCCCCCTTGAGGATTCRTGTCTGAAGGGAGCCAAGAGACAGCCTGGGACTGAGGATGGAGACAGGGCCAGGGTAGAGCCGGGGGGCTGGATGCCCCATGCCTGCCTGCACGGGAGGCCACAGAGGGTGTGAAACACTGTAGCTGCACGTCACACCAAACCCCAAGCCTCGAGTGCTGTGTTGCTTCTGCAGTAACTAACAGAAGCCTTAAAAACAGGGATGCTCCTGCCAGAACGATTCTCCCACTGACTAGATCGTTGTAGCAGTGTCTGTGGTGTCTGGCTGCACCGCAGACAAGCGTGGCAAGGGGCACAGAAAAACGTTGGTATGGTTCAAGCGGGAGCCCTTACCTCCTGCTTCATCAGGCACTTGCCGAGCTCAGTGAGCTCTGCGCTGGCCGGAGGAGTCACGTCTGTGGCCATCACCTCGTCATCTGCAGGGCAGAGCAGAGGCAGCAGTGTGAGTGTGGCACCCCCAGGGCACAGGCAGAACTGAGGTGTCCCCCAGGGGACAGGACACACAGCAAGCGCCCTGGCACCTCATGCCAGAGCATCTGCCCCCCCACAGGCAGCACCCAGTGGCTGTGAGGCAGGAAGGGCACCCAACTGGCTAAGAACGGACTGTGCCCGTGCCCTGTGCCCTCAGCCCTCCCCTTCAGCAGCAGCTTGGACGCCCACATGCTGCAGGGAGCTCTGCAGCACAGCACTTGGCCCTAGGCCAGGCCTGGCTTCTAGGGGGGCCCCCCACACAAGAAACGTGGCAGGATCCAAGCTGAGGGCTTGGTGCCAAACCTCCACCCTGCGCCCACTGCCTCCAGGAGCAGGCCAGACTCTCCCTTTTTAGGGGATATGGGAAAAGTGTTGGCACGCACCAAGAGGGGAAGYGCAAAGGCAGCCATCTACTCACCGTCTCCATCTAGAGTGGCAGCCGTGTTTTGCTCAACGCCTTTCTTAGAAACACAGCAAACAGCTGCAAAAAATACTGCAGGTCAGAGGAGCGGGAAGGGGCTACCTCACTCAGCAGCCGCAGAGGTCAGCCTGCACAATCTGCTGGGCTGACAACTCCTTCAAGCTCCCCCCAGCTCTCCCTAGACCTTGTTATTTACACAGTATCTGAAGAACCCAAAAGCACAGCCTAAAAGGCAAATATTGCTCTAACAGGATGTATGAAACACCCCACTCACAGGATCCTTTCTGGTGGAACCTGCTGCRAGGTGGCTGCTTTAAACTAAACCTGGTTCTTAGCTTTAAACTAAGAACCAGGAATGTGCAAAAATCATTTCAAGCCTAGAGCTGAGGAAAGGAGTGTTTTACAGCAGCAGGGCTAAAAGGAAGGCAGAAGCGAGGCTGCCACCCTGCAGTGCCACGTGGAATTGATTTTTCCAGTCCCTCTGCTCAAAACCACACTGCAAAAACACGGTGCTGGAGTAAAGCAGCACAAAAGAGATGTGTTTGTGGTGAGGAAGTCTTTCCCTGGGATTGTCTGGAGACGCGACAAATGCTGACACCAAAACTGCCCTTTGCTCAGCTTGTCCACAAATCAGTGTCAYGTATCTGACTCCAGGCCACAGAAAGGAAGAACCCCAAAGGAAGAACCTCAAAGGAGGACTGGACTCCGATGGGGACAGTGCCAAAACCACAGAGCCTCAGAGGCCAACAAAGCAAAAGGAAGCCAATGTTGCTCTTCTGCAGGTTGTAAGCTGAGCTCTTACTAGCTTGTAGTCAAGATTATCACAGGGTTAACTATCACTCATCTGGCTTCTGAGGACTCCTCAGAATGTTAATCTCCTCCAGCTGTATATTTTACTGCAAACTGATAATTCCTGTAGCCCTCTCTGCGCCAACCTTCCCAAAGGTCCTGGCGGACCTAGCCAAGCTTACTTACTGATGAGATCCATGACTTCGCGGGTCAGCAGCCTGACCAGCTGCTCCTCGAGCATCTCCTGAGACTCCGGATTGTCGTCGGCAGCATCATCCTCACTGAGGAGAACAGGTTTTAGTGTGAGGGGAGCCACAGCCTTAACGCATCCCTTCTGCCCAAGCACAGGAGTGAGTCATCAGCAGGATAAACAGAGAGTGACACTGAGAATTAGCTAAGACCAGCCGCCCTGGCGAGGGTGGGAATGCTGAGTGCAACTGTGACCAGGAATAGGATGGGCTGAGCAAATTCCTCATCTGTCATTAGCAAGCCCAAAAGCAAAACCAGGGAGCTGCAAGCTGAGTCAAGGACCCAGAGGAGTTGGTGTTTCTCAGGGCCCTGGTGCTGCTGGGCCTGTTCCCATGCCCGGGGCAGGAGAGCCCGGGAAAGCCAGGAGCTCCAGCCTGCTCCCTGCTCTCCCCTTGCAGCACTCACCAAGGGATGGCCCTTACCTAAACAGGCTTCTCTGGTTGATCACTTGCCACTTCTGAGACAGCCTCTGTTTAAGACCAAGACAAAAGGGAAGATTCAATAACTTCCTCAGGAGCTACCCTGGATACAGTGTAAAAAAGAACCAAGCACTCCTCACTAGCAAGTAGTGACAACTGCTGATAGAAACACTTGCAAGAGTTGCTAGCACAGCTCCTAGGCCGACTTGGAGCAGGACAGAAATTGCTGCTTAGCTGTAGCGAAGAGCCAAGGAGCCGCGGTGGCTACGAGGGGAGACGGGCAAGACGACTCGTGCAGAGACGCTCGTGCTGCAGGGCCGAGCTCCTCAATCTGAACTGAGCACAGGGCGCACAGCGGGACAGCCAGAGCGCAACGTGCCCCATGAGACCCCTGGACAGCGTCAAAGCATGAGGCAGCAGCGCTGGCTCTGGAGGGGACAACGCCTCCCGACATTCCCACAGGGACAGGCATCAATCCAGCTCTTCTCTTACCACGTGCAGATACGTGAAGAGCGGTCCCAGCATGGGGCAGACAAGGGCTTCATAGTATTCCGGGGGGCAGGAGAGGACCAAGGGTTTAACAAACACACCTGCACAGAGCAGTTAAGGGAAAGATCCAACACATGTGCCTGGTCACAGCCCTGAATTAAGAGGTGTCACATCTACCCGAGACACCCCARTGCCAAACACCTGCTCTCTCCCACCCGCCTGCCCCCCAAAAGGCAATCCCCATCTCTGATGGTGCATGAGGACAGCACAAACCCTTGGCCCGTATCCCACACCCAGGGCACTGCTGTGCCTGCTCATGCTGCTAGGCAGACACCTCTGCCACRCCACGTGCATCCCTGTTTGCCTGCCTTCCCAAACATCCCTCCTTAGCCCAGCTATACTGAAACGGATGCCAGAAAGCCCGTAGCTTTAAAGCTTGACATGCCTCAAAGCTCCCCTGGGTGCCCTGAAACAGCGCCGCAAGGATACGGAGCATTGGACGCAGCCTGTAGTCAGGAATGTTGTTGAGGTTGACGAAAGCCGAGCTGAGGAGCTGCGTGGCGAGACCCTCCACGGTATAGAAATCCTGCTGCATGGAGGGGCCTGCGTTCCCCAGGATGTGGAAACTGCAATGCAAAGGCAAGTTACGTGCAGCTCTGCTGGACAGCAGGGACACAGCTCGGCCCCAGCAAGGGCTGCAGGTGCCACCATTTCGAGATTAGATGGTTGCCACGTTCTTAKGCAAACGTTAAAGAGAAATTTCAGCACAGGATCTCTCTTTTGGGACATGTGCAGGAAAATAACACTTTAAACATACACATTTAAGTGTACGTTTTAAGATAAACAGTATCCTAACAGATAAACTGTATCCTAACACAGGATTAAAAGCAAAGAAAGAAACCAGGTGAGGATACAGAAGGAGCATTCCAGCCCTGCTAGACACTGTTGAAGGGGGACATGCAGATCCACACTTTGAGGTGCTTCTTCAGCAACCGTGGTCCATGTGTGTGTGAGAGGTAGGTTGTGACTGTTAAGTGCAGCTCACCACTGCCCCTAGCACTTCACAGATTATGGAATGCGGCACACTTGAAAAGTCAAAGTCTAAAACAGGGCTGCACCCAGCAATGTCTTTCTGCACCAGCTGTGCAAAGTGAGACGTACATGGAGGCCGTGCTGCTCTTACCAGTTGTCGTAGAGGGTACAGAAGAAGCCCTGCATCCTTTCCAAGACCGTTTTGTAAACGGGAGCATCATAAAGCTCCAGCAGAGGCTGCGGGAGACCTGTGGGAGAGACCAAAGCCGGCATGGTTAGTTGGAAGAGAGTGCATAGGCCCGGGCGCAGGCAGCAGTGGGGTGACGGCGACGGGGCGCTGAGGCCCTGGGCCCTTAGTCCCAGCCCTGCATGTCCAGGCCAGGCCCAGCCCCACACGTCTGTGCTCCCCGCTGTGGGGAAGCGCCTCAGGGCTGCCCCGCTGCTGGCCAGGCTCTAGCAGAGACCAGGAGCTCGCGGCCTTACGTGCAGTAGCTCACGGAAAGACAGAGCCGCCAGGCCACAGAGCTGGTAAAGGAAGTTACGCTGCTTATTTTACTGATGAGGAACAGAGATAAAGCAACTTCAGCATCCTTGGCTCTCTGCAGAGTCCAAAATGAAACCCGGACTTCCACAGTCATGGCCCAGACTTGGGCCATAACGATGCCTGCACTCGCTGGAAGGCCACCTGGGCTCACAAACTCAAGYTTCTTTTTAAGAAGGCTCCAAAGGCCTCATCTTAGTACCACGCCTAGAGAGAGACAAGCAGGGCCGGAGCGCAGGTCTCCGTGCCCTCTAGGACAGGTCTCTGCAGGAGCGCTCCGGGATCCCACACACCCCTCCTGAAAAGCAGTTCCTTACCTAGTATGGCATTCTTCTCCACTTCCAGCATGTCTAAGGCCTTTGCAAACGTTTCTCCCATCTTAGCCACCATCTGTGGTGTGTAAAGATCGTTGTGAGTCCTGTAACAGAAGAGCACTTGGTTTATACTGCTGTGGGTCAGCCCCTTTTGCCCTTGACAGTGGGATCCTTTCCTTCAGCTTGTGAACAGCTCCTCTGTGGCAGACGATGAGGAAGGTGAGACCAAGCACGTGTGCATGGGATCCCCCTTCCCCGCCTGCGGAGATACTGGGGAAGCTCATCCGACAGAGACGTGGAGTGACTCCACCTCATGTCCTGAGGCTCCTGGCTGCCCCTTCCACTTCCTCCAGTCCCCCCGCCCGCTGCGAGTGCTGGCAATAAACTCCCAGCAATTCTGCACGGATGCTGGCGACAGCATGTTAGCTTGGCCACAGGGATCCGAGGCCGTCTTTAAAGAACTGACAGACACAGCTTGTGGAAGCTCAAAAGATCTTCTGCACCTAAGGCCCCTAGAGAGGCAGAGGCTTTTCCAGCTCCAAAATACACACACTGCCCCCAGGGACGGGTCACAGCCCCCAGAATGGCAGGCGGCACTGGAGGGACTCTAGGGAGAACGTTAGTCCAACGGAGGTCACTTGTGGCAGACACGCGTGCCCCCTGGAAAACGCATCCAACCGGGAACAGCTCCACGCRATGTAATGAGGAGGCAGCCGTGGTCAGCCCTCCTTGGGGAGCACCGATTCAGCCTCGGGTGGCTGGTTCTTGCCATCCGGGCCCAAACGGGTCCCCTCCTAGCCAGGGTACTGACTCTCATGGCTGGACTCGGCCGGGGGAGGCTCTCTCACCTACCTCTCTCCTTTGAGACCTCAGACCTCCACTGTGGGTGTCGCAGCTGCACACAGCACAAATCCTGCAGCCTCCTCCAAAACTGCAGTGCCACTGTACCTGCTGCTAGAGGTGATCAAGGGCAACTCAGTATCTGCCCCTAGAGCAGTGGTTCCCAAAGCGGAAGGGGGAATGCGTGGGAAGGGCTGCGGGGAGGGAGCGTGGACAGACCTCAGCGCCTTGTCCAGAGTCTCAGCTTTCACTTCATGATTCGGGGATTTTTATTTTGTTTTTTTGTTTTTTGGAAGGTCTCTGTTCACAGTGCTGGTACCCCAATGCAGTGACATCTGCCTGGGTTTGCAGAGAGCCAAAGATAGCTCCGAAAGGGCAACTATCCCATTTCTCTYTGCAAGTGTTAAATACTTCCCTGCTCACAGCATGTGAGGAAGGCAAGTACGTTAAGATCTGTTTAAAAGAGCTGCACAAATGACTTCTTAACCACATACACTTCATACACTCACTCTGGGCTGGATTTAACACCATGCAACAGGCCTCAAAGGGACAGAAGCTTTGTTTAATTTCTCAGCAAGAGTCAGGGAGAAGCCCAGGTTCCAAAAGTTTGGATAAGGCTCTTCCACTGACGCCGCAAACTCTGTGTTTCTGCTTGATGCTCTCCTGCAGCCTTGCTCCAGAAATCCTTTCCTCYTTCACATCTCCCACCTGCTCCCTGCCAAAGCTGCCTTCGCCTTATGCTGGGTAGAAAGTCATTGGGACAGACCCAAGGACTGCAGAATTGAGGGGCAAACCTTGACACCTGACTGCTCTGACCCCAGCAGGAGGGCTCACASAGTCACGTCCTGACGCTGCTCTCATGGTCCTTGCCTCACTCAGAGCCCTTGAAGCATTTGCTCCAGTCTGACAGTTGGGAGAGCAGGCATTTGCTCACAGGCCAGGCTCCCTCATCTCAAACTACAGGAAGGTCCCAGTGGTGACAGAGAACATGGCTAAGAAGTTGCTCCCYATGGGAGTCGAAAATCCCAAATCCCCTGTGCGTGATGAAGTTGCAGCCCCTAGGCAAGGTCCAGCTGAGACTCCCAGCAGCGAGCAGCACTCCTGGGCATCCCTTACACAGGAGAACACATGGAAAAACAAAATTCAAGAGACATTTATAATTCAGGTAAGACAAGAAAGGGTATGACAGGGTGTGGGGAATGCATTCTCAGAGATGGTCACAGCTCTGCTGGAAAGGTGTCTTTGCTGTCTAGAGACACGGGCCTCACGGCGGTCCAGAGCCCACGCTCGAAGAAACCATCGCTCACAGCTGGAGCCCTCTGTGCTGTCTGAAGCCCCCGGRGCCCCCACGTGCACACAGCCATCCTGCCACCAGTATTAATGCCACACGCCTGGCACCATCTCCCTGAGAGGCTCCAAAGCAGCCTGTCTTCGTGCAAAGCATCCGCTGAGCCTGACGAGCCAGTCCCTTTGCAGTGCAACACGGGCACATCCAGCACCACAGAGATGTGTTGCACAAACCAGTTTGTGCGGCCGCTATCTCCAGAGAAGGGCAGAAACTGTTTGGGTGGCTGGAGACGGATGCAATTCAGGAAAGAAAAAAYTTCAAGCCAACTTGAGGTAGAAGCTAGAAACCAGCTAAAGAGGAGTACCACAAAGGTCAGGAAAAGCATCGCTGAGAAAGCTGCAAGCAATGAACAAAGCGGCCCCGTGTCCACTCAGCAAGTTTGGCTACCGGAGACACAAACATGGACACCAAAAGAGAGGCTGGCAGGGAAAGCACCTCTGTCTCTCCGTCCTGTTTCCCTCCCTGCTCTGATTCCCTCTCGTTGCTGTTGCTGTGGGGCACAAGCAAACCCCTACCCTAGCTCAGAGCCGAGCCTTGSCGCTGCCTCTGGTCACCCACTGGGGTCCGGCCTGGGGCCTGGGGCTGTCCGGGCAGCTCCTGCTCACAGACCTGCTCCCACTGCGACTACCGGGAGTGGGAGTCCCCACTGGAGACCTCCCCTCCCGGTTCCGAAAAGCGCCCTGGGGCGGGCAGGCCTTCCTGTGGAATGCCCAGCTCCAAAATCCCGCCCAGCTCCGTGCTGCCCTCTCTGAGGGGCTTCTGCCAACAGTCCAGGTCAAAAGGGGGGCCTCGGAAGCTGTGCACGGAAAATGTCCTATGGAGCCTCAGGTGTGAGCTTTGCTGTCCAGGTACGAGCTCCAGCTTCTCCAGGCAGACATGACCATCGCGAAGCTTTCAGGCTGAACCACCTGGAGCCTGCAGGTGTCACAGAAACCTCTGCAATCGGCAGCAGCCCAGAAAAGTATCAAGGGGAGGGAGGATCTATTGCTCTCAATCCATCAGCTGTTTTGTTCTTCTTGGAGCATCCAGCCTTATGCATCTCCTTTGGGAAAGCCTGGATACATATGAGGGAAGCGTAGGCTGCTCTTGTATGTTACCAATCGCTCAGAAATGTCCCAAAGTGGAGATTTTGGTCTGCAGCAGAGCAACTTGAACCACGCAGGTGCATTAGCTCGTAGCACTGCACGGGAGCCTCTTCTTTGAGCTGATGGAGAAGCCCTGGCCACAGCTGACAGCCCGGGCACGTTCCTGGAGGTGAGGCAACGGCAGGCGCAGCATTTCTGCTGCTTTACAAGCACTGCAGTGGGAGTTCAGCAGAGGAAGGGCTAATTCAGTTTCCTCAGCCTCTCATGACAAGGATCCAGTCTATTGCGACCTSTTCAAACCTTGGCTCTCCCTGCTCCACAAAGCCTGACAGCACAGCTCATCCCTTGGGTCTCTGGCCGTCAGGATAAAAGGCAAAACCACTCTGAAGCAGAGCTGCTCCACGCTACAGCCAGAAACGAGCGGCTGCACCCGGCTCACAGGCCAAGGCAGCCGCCCCTCTGCAGCACAGGGCTCTGCCACGGGAAACGCCACCTCCCCGGTGGGCCAGACCACGCGCGCTCAAGCGCCGGCCCAGCACGTGCTGCTCACTAGACGCTGCAGCCCTGACGCAGCCCCGAGCTCCCCAGCACCCACAGAGCACACCCGGCGAGGCCGCGCTTGCGGCCGCAGAGCGCCCTGCTCACGGGCCTGGGAAGCGACAAACCTGCGTGCATCTGACAGCGCTCCGTCCCCGCGGGCCCCTGCCAAGCACAGATGGATCCCCCAGTGTCCACATGCACAACACACAGCAGTACCTCACCAACAGGCCCATTTTCTGGCAAAACCCCAGTGCCAGCCGTTACATTGAGCTAGATCCCTCATTTATAAATATGTGGGAAACATTTTTGCCTTTTCCACTCGCTCCCACCCCTTCCTCTGGCTGCCTTAGAGGGGCACAAGCCCAGGGACACACACGGAGGCAGTGCCGGGCGGCGCCTTGGGACGCTGGCCTTGGCACTCAGCAAAGCCAGTTTAGCTGAACCCTGGTGAGAGAACAAGGCAAGCGGGGTGCAATGGGAGCTGGGACTGCCCTGGGGGGGACCGCAGAGGTGGCCTGGTAGGGGCTGAGCACAGAGCAGAGATGTTAGTTGAGGAAACATTAAACGGGTGGCAGATTTACAGCAGTGGGGGCAGCGGAGGCGACCCCAGGGCCCCATTGGCTTCAATGGGCTCGTGTCGGCCAGGCCAAGGATGGCTCCAGCTGCCCAGTCCCGTTCCCGACTGGGAACATCCGGTAACAGGATATGGGCACCTGCGCCAGCCTGTGTTCCCACTGGCTTCACCGGGAGAACATGCTGGGAGCACTGCCACGTTTATCACTGCGTGGCTTTCAGCGGCTCTTAAATCAGCGCACAGGATTTCAAGTCAACCAGACCCACCTTATGAGGGCAAGGAGGTTGTCAAGAAGCTTGAGGACCTGCTCCGTGCACGGGTTGCGGTAGATGGGGCTGCCGCTGGGCATGTAGCCGACCAGGAAGCCTCCGGCTTTCGCCTCTTCGGCGGCGGCGGGCCAGCGGGCGCGCTTCACCACCCCCAGGATGGTGTACACGCAGAAGCTGATCTGCAACACGCAAGAGACACCTCACCTGCGGCTTCAGCACAGCGGCGCCCGCGCGAACGCGCGCCACAGAGACCTGGCAGCCGCCTGGCGCAAAGCGGGCACGGAACCTAACAGGGGCACAGGGACACACTCTGGGGGGTTTGTTGCCAAGAATACGATGCAGTCTGTTAGGACACAGCCCACCATTTTTAGGGAGTCTCGGCCATGGCAGGACAGCCTAAGAACACATTATTAGACAGAGCATCAATGTGTAAGCCTCAGGAGTGTGCAAACAACTCAATTAGAGGGCAGGGTTGCCCTCTAAAAGGAAGTGCCAGTGTCATCACTCCCTCATCTCCTTGTGCTGGGAGGAATATGAACATCTGTCACCTCACAGCAGTCAAACTGCACTGGCCTCAGAGCAGAGCTCTGTTGAATTATTTCAGYGTCTTCCACAGACCTGAAGACTGCAACCCAGTTACAGCCAGTCCCTGAAGTAAAGGCACATCAGCAACAGCTCACACAGCAGCAATCTCCTAGGATGCATTTTAATTCTATTCAATGCTGCAGTCTCAGCAAAACGTTTTCCATGCTGCCTGGCTCAGGAAGCACAGCTCACATCACCTATTCCCAAAATTCAGGTTAACCACTTCATTCCCACAATCCTACCTCTGCCACCCCAACAGAGGGGAGCAGAGCCCTTCGCCCTGCTGCATCACCTGCCCTGGCACGGCCTGCGTGCTCACAGAAGCTCAGGGGCTGACCTGTCATTCTGCAGTGGGAAAAACTGATCTGCATCCTTAAAAAGTGGATCATCTGGAAAGATCTTGTGCGTGTAGCCACCACACGAGCGAAGGCTCTAAGGGGATGAGTTATCTCACTCTAAGTATTAAACCTCTCTCAGTAATGATACTCACTCTAGAACGGTTCAGGCCACTAGCATCTTCCAAGGTTGGATCAGAAATTTTGTTATCTGCACCCACGTAGGAGATAAAGGCTTCAGGATCCGAGAGGACTCTGGTGAGAGAAAAAAGACAGTGCTTGGGATTACTGTTTGCATCCAGGAGCTTTGAGCAGAGCCTTGCACTGACAATAGGCTTCTTAACAGAACAGTCACTGGTCAGCACTCCCCATTGGCCATAAAAATCTGAGGAAAAGCAGCAGAGATCTGGGACTCTCCTAACACCTCCGTGTCTCTCAGGCTGTGAGAACCCAAAGTCTCAGAATCCCTTGTACAGGYGATACTCCTAAGAACACTCTTGTGGGTGCCCAGCTGCCCAGGGCTGCTGCCTGGAGCTCTGGGCCATCTCCACCTGCTTTTAGGAAGGACAGCTCAGCTCCCTGGAAACGTGCAGAGGTGTCTTTCTTCTCCCATTTTCGGCAAACGCTTTGAACATGCTGGGAAGTGCCCCTCTACCACCTCCACTAATTCTTAGGGAGCAATTCTCAACATGCCGCTCTCAGACTCAGTAGGCAACTTCTCAAGCACAGGAGAGCTGTTAACACAAGCAAGCAGCAAGTGCCCAGCACCCAGGTCACCAGACACCCTACCCTACCCCTCAGTACTCCCCATGGAGGCAGGTGCCACCTCTGCAACACGTCCATCCCACGCCTCCACAGTGCCCCATACCTCTGCATCTCTGCGGAGAGCCATAAGTTGGCAACAGGGGCCATGAGCTCCTCCAGGAAAGCTTTCTGCCGCTCGTAGTCCTTGAACTGGTTGCTGATGAGGACCAGGGCCTCCATAAGGGCACATTTCTCCATCTGGGTCAGAAGCAGCTCATTGGAGAGCAGCTGCTTCACGTGGTTGTACAACATATCAAAGTTTGGCTGGAAAAAACAACCCAAGCAAGGCAGTGTCATGTATTTGGTGTGGATGGGGGTCTCTGCAGGAGGCCGGGGTACCCTTCTCTAGGCAGTCATATCTGTCACAGCAGGGTCACCTCTCAAAATAGCTCTGGTCCTTTCATTTACTGTCCCAAAGTATCTTGCCCCCATGTCTCTGAAGTGCCAGACTTGGGGGTCTTCCCCCTCTCCACTCACAGCTGGCCCAATAAGCGCTCCCGTGGTTACCACCACGTCCACAGCAGTGGCCAAGTTTCTTCCCTACCCACTCCAGTCACAACCCTGTTTTCCCAGAACTCYGTACAAGCCTCAGGAATCACTTCCTTCAGCAAAGTCATCTGAAGATACTTTGGGGCAGCTGTGGGCCCTCAGCTCTTCCAGGGAGAATGGCTGCCTGGGAGGAAGGATGGGGGRTTCAGGGAGCAGGAGAATGGGACACAGAGAAAGCCACTAGTTCTTGGCAGTTGCTGCAAAAATGSAGACTGGAATCCCTAAATGACCTTAATCAGCATTCTCAAAACATCTTCTATTTTATTACGATCTGCAGATTAACCTGTAGCCACAAATTGAGAGCCTCACAAAATTTCTTTGTTTAAACTAGCAATGTGCTTCCCTACCTCTGGGGCTATACAAACAGAAACACAAAAAAGAAAAAGGACTTCAGAGCTATTTGGTGCAGCAAAAATCAAACAAAACATTACCTGGTGGATTTTAAAAGTAAACAGTTTATGTCTGTATTTTCTAACTTCCTCAAGCTAATCCAGAGACAAATATTCTCTTTCTTCTCCTTTATTCTTTTAAAGAAGAGAAGAAAGTCTGCAGATCAGTGATCGCTAACATCTTCAGCTAAGGAATCAGCTGCTACAAATGACAAAACCAAAACTCAGCAAATGTACCCCTAAAACTGTCCCAGCCTCTCTCCTCCCTCTCTCCTTTGGATCTAACTYATTTCAAATCCCCAGGAGGGAAACAACTCAAACATGGGGGGTTGCCAGTGAGGGAAATAAATCACTTTGTTGCCATTTATGCAGCAAAAGTATTTCCGTGAAATGAAATAGGGCCACAGCCAAGAAATCAGCAATCTCACAAATACAGCTGGAACTGAAGCGAGGCTCCTGAGGAGGGAGCTGGATTCACCTACCAGGACGAGCTGGGGGTAATCCCGGCACATCTTGATGATGGAGGAGCACGCGTGTCTCCTCACGTTCTTCACTGCTCGGGTTCGAGGAGCCTGGACAGACATAGCAAACTTCAATGCAACAAAACAAAAGGTTCAGACAAATGCAGAGGATCTTCCAGACACAAATCCAGCACATGCAGGTTTTTTTGGCACCGCYGAGTGCAGATCAGAGAAACAGCTCCAACGCCTCCCTCTGCCCCCTGGCAATGCCACAGCAGGGGCCAGGTCCCTGGCAGCGCAGCCAGCCCACGAGGCCCACGGGCAGGCGAGCTGGGCTCCAGCAGCCCGGGGGCCGGCCACCTAGGCACTTATCCAGCCACCCATCCAGCCTCTTACCAACTACAGCAAGACTCTGGGCATCCCCACAGCAGCTGGCAATGTCACAGCTGCCCTTTACCACCAGGAAAACCAAGCACAGAGCAGTAGGAGCAGCTACCAACGAATGCACCTCTCAGGAGGACCAGCACAGGGCTGGCTGCCAAGCACATGGGCCTTACACACGTGCCTGCTGCTTTCCAAGCTTGACAGCCAAGCACATGAGGCCGTGCCCACAGACAASAGAGCAACTGTCTTTAGACCTGCCCTTCCCAGGAGCAGGACTAAAGATGAGAAGCTTGCTACAGTGGAGTCTTCAGACTATGAGCTTTAAAACAGAATATAATTGGATCCAACCCTTACAGCATATTAAGAGAATAATTCAGACCTACCTTACTTTCTTCTATAACTTCAAAGGTAACTGAAGCAAACAGCTGGGAGAAAAGGGAGGAAAAATCCAAAACCACATGTCACTTGTTAACATCTAGCACTTGCTTTTATTTTGCYGTGTTCAAGAAACAGGAGCAATTTCTTTAAATTGGTGAAAAAACCTTGACTAAGTTGAAAGAGGAATCATCAACACAAAGAGGCCGTGAAATAAAATGGGGTATTTACTGGCCATAGCTTAGCATTATGATTTAGGACTGGGAACCATAATGTTTATGTTGACTGAATCTCGTTCAAGGAGAAGCAGTATCTCAATTTTCCTGTTTCTAGGGCAAGGAGCAGCCTTTGCTTCATAGGAAGCTCAAGAGCATGTGTGGTACAAGGGCCTTCCTCCACTCAAAGCCCCCCTGAGTTTAGCAGRGCGTGCAGGTGCCTGCCTACCTTGGAAAGGACTTGCTGCAGGTATTCCGGGCGGTAAGTGACGAACGGGAAGAGGGCAGAGATGTTGGTGAGCACGCAGGAGAGGATGAGGGGATCCTTGGTTTCATAACTGAGGACTTGCTGCAGCAGGTCTATGCCATCATTCACTGGGATTGCCTGCAGGACACCGGGGAAACAACAGGGAGGAGGAAAGGGAAAAGCAGGCAAGGCTCAGCACGTCAGCCTGCCCCACACACATGCTAGGGCTCCCAGAGCYGGGGCAAGGAGCTGCCGCTGTGATAACAGACCCTCTCAGTTGCAGGCAGTTTTTCTTAAAGCAGAAGGAAAAGCAGGGGAGACCTCAGTTTACCTACATGCTGTATGCACTTGCTAGAGAAAAAAGAGAGCAGCATTGTCGTGATTAAAAGATGCCAGTGTGAAGTCCCTACTACTGTTTRCATCTTTAGGAAGGACAATTTTCCTCTCTCATTTTGCATCCTGATTCTCCTTTTCACTCCAAAAGATTTCACAATCAGCTAAATCAACCCTTAAAATATTTATTTTACATTAATCAGAACTAAAGTGCATTAGCAGCTTTATCCAGTAAACACCAGCTTACAGGAGGTTCAGAAAAAAAAATGCCTACTGTTSAACAAGCAGAAGAGAGAAAATGCATCTCATCTTCTGACCTCCTGCTCCTKCAGCATGAGTTTCTCTCATTCAATTAGGAAGACAAAAAAGAAAAATGAAATTGAGGTACAATTATAAAAATAAAACTCAGGAAATTTCACCTCGGCTGCCCTCTTCTCCTCTAGCAGGGCCCTATGTACAAGTGCCCCCTCTGTGCCCTCCTGTCACTTTTTGGGGAGCAGCAGCTAGAATCAGGACGTATCTGACAGGAAGCCACCATGAGGCTGGTCTCATCCGCAGCGTCGCTGCTCCTCACGAGAGTCACTCACCCAACAAGCCAGGGTTTTGCATGGAGCTAAGTGCTTACTACAAGATTTTCAAAGACGACACAGCTGAAAACCACCCACGCCAGCTCAGAACAAGCCAGGGAAGCAGGCGAGAGCATTTGGTGCACGTACGTCTTTATCCAGGGTTCGAAACATCTGGCTGATGACGCTCTCCGAGAAGAAGGTCATGGCATCCCACTGAACAAAGGAGGGAGAGAAGATGGAGCAGAGCCCTTCGCCCGACTTGGCTGCAAGGAAGAGAACACGGGAGCTCTCACCGTGCTGCTCCCACCGGCAGCAGCCCCGTCGGCTCCCGTAACGCGACGCTTCAGCGCTCGAGGATTCTGCCAYGCTTTCTCCCTGCGGGTGCCTGGCAGGGATGCACTGGAAGCAGGCAAGGCACTCCAGTGTGATTTGTCTTCTGAAGTGAAGGGTCCTGAGCCACAAGGCTCATCCTCAGGAGGCTGCAGCACCACCAAACCAYAGAGGCAAAAGGAAAAGGAGAGGCCACAAGCCCAGGCTCAGCACTGCAGGCAGGACAGCACAGCACTCACTGAGGCTTCCTGGGGAACTAAGTGGCCTTCAGGGGAGGAAAGCAAGGTGACTGATGGAAAGGTTTGCCAGTCAGGCTGAACTCCCCTTGAGAAGAAATAATCAATCGGCTTCAGTCATGTTAAGGTCGRAATTATAGTAATGCATCTGCTCTGCAAAGAGATTCTGGAGAGAGGAAGAGGTTCCCYGCTAGCTGAGGCTCTACAGCAGCTTCCACTCCACAGCAGTGGAAGGAGGCTACAAAGGGTTACAAGGGGTTAATTCTGGGGCTTTAGGATTTTTCTTTTCCTTCTCTCTTTTTTTTTTTTTTGTTTTAAATTTGCAAAGATCTTGAAACCTAATAAAGATTCCTGCTTCCCTATCAAAGAGTGTGATCTGGGAAAAAGGCAATGAAGATTTTACTTGGCTTAAAAAGAACGCTAAATTCCATGTGYGTGTGCATATATATAAATGTGTGTGCATGCAAATATGTATATTATGCAAATATACATATACAKAYATATATATATWTWTWTTTTTTYCCTCTCTCTGCTCAGGTGACTTACAGTTCATGGCTCCGGCATCGAAGGGAAGCGCGAGCTGGTACTTGAGCCACTCGCCTGCCATCTGGAAGCCGGTGCGGGGGTCCAGGCGACAGGCCATCCGCATCACCTCCCCTTGCTGCGCTCGGAAAGCTGCAGGGGGAACGGGACACAGGCTGACGCCGCAAACGCTCCCTCCCCAGAACTCACCGCGCTGCTTTCCAGGCCTGGGAATGCTCTGGATTGTTGCTCTGGCAATAGGTGTGTTGTAAGCCCAGACATACGTAAATGGGGTGGACATTTTTTTTTGAAGAGATATAAATGGATTTTAAAATGATGAATTAACATAAACACAATTAAAGTGTAATCACAATTATGAAAAAAACTATCCTTAACACAGATTTGCTGTAATTGAGCATCTATTTTTCATTTTTAAATTCTTCAATATGTACATATTTGCTGCTTACAAAGCACCATGAAATGCTGAGATACTTAATCAACATCAGAAAACCCTCACTGCTTTTCACTAAACAGCTCCTCCCCAGATTATTTAACTTAATACAGATCACTGGCAGGTTCTAGAATGAAAAGCTAAAGGTACCTTGGGGAAAAACAACCACCAACCAACCACCTAACCACCAACCAGCAATCAAAACCAGTAAGTCTTGTTTTCATTCTCAAAGCTATGAACGAAAGTAAAGGACAAGAACAGGAATTTAGTTGCTTCCAAATCTTCCAGCACAAGACCACACAAAAGAATCAGCTCTACTGGCTACAAGCAAAACTTATATTGCTTAAAAAAGATGCTTATCAAATAAATTCATTTTGTATTTCCAAACAGTTTTATCTTTTTATGTACGTAACACCTTCAACATCATTTAGCTCCCAAAACCCAATTCTGGCTTTGTGCATTTAACTGCCTTTTGAGTTCCACTCAAGTAGATTTAATATCATAAATAAAACCTAACTAACTTAATAATACAAAATGCTACACTCATTTTCAAACATAAATTTTACATTTATGTTTAAATATTTACATAAATGTAAATATTAAGCTTTTAAAGTAGTTTATTATACTCTGAGGGTGACAGAGCCCTGGCACAGGCTGCCCAGAGAGGCTGTGGAGTCTCCTTCTCTGGAGATCTTCCMAACCCACCTGGATGTCACCCTGTGCCCCGTGCTCTGGGTGTCCCTGCTGGAGCAGGGGGGTTCTAGAGGTCCCTTCCAACCTCAATCATTCTGTGATTCTATGTGATTATAGCTCAATATATAATTCAATGAAGTGTACAGTGTATTTGCTCAGCTACCAAGTAAACACCAGACTACAGCCGCCAATGAGAACCTATCTCATTTTCCAGAAGTAAAACACAAAAAATAACATTAGAAAAGGGCACCCTGTCTGCTGATTTAAGATAATGATTAAGGTCAGCTATTTTCAGTTGATCAACACCAACTATTGGAAGTAGCAGAAGCTACTCAGCAGGATGAAAACATTTACATTTCAGCAGTGACACTTTACAACTYGTGTAAGCTGCCTTCTTCCTAGTCATACAACAGACCTCCTCTAGCCTCGTCTAGGGAGGCTACTGCCTCCAGGCAGCCAAGAAACCATTTTTTTTGATACTAGTAGTGAGGGCTCCTTGCCCATCCACCTGGACGGMAAAGTGATACCAAAGAAGAACCTGAGCTGACTCAGGAAATATCTCAAAATCCCCCAAACTCCAAGACCCAGGCTGTAAGAGTCAAAATAGGACTGGCAGCTGCCAAGTCAACCTGGTAGGCTCCAAACTCAGCAACTGAAAAGAAGAGAAAACACAGAGAAAACAGCATCCACACRGGGGCAAGGGCAACTTACAGTTGAAGAAGGCATTGAAGTCCTCATCGCTGTCAAAATCGAAGCGAGAGTACTCACAGCTGGGGCTATCCGACTTGGAGGGAAAGCCCACCTGGAGACAGACAGGAGAAGGTCAAGAGGAAGAGAAGCAGCCAGCACAGCTAACTCCAGCTTCCAGGAGACCAAGACTAAAGGCAGCAAAACACTGAGATCAGCGCTGTTGCTCTRCAGCCTGCAGACTGTGTCTCTGGCAGCCACAGAACTACAATTTCAGTTTCCCCCCCATGCTTTGCAGGCCGTGCCCAAGAGCAGGCCGTGCTCTCGACACTGCCGTGGCCACGGTTCCCACCTACCTTCACTAAGTTGGTCATGGAGGCACGAAGATACTTGGGAATCGTCGCCAGCAACAAGGGGTCCCGAGAGAGAACGTCGTGCCGAAAGAGGGCTCCCCAGGTGATCTGCGTGGAGGAGCGCAGGAACTGCGGGGCAGAGGGAGCCAAGGAGGAGTCACAGGAGGTTTGCAGCTGGGATTGCAACTGCTGACATTTAAGCATTGCAATCAGAAAGCAACAGTAAATTACACTGATTAGTCTGTTGAGGGCAAGGCACGCTGCAGGCTCAACCCAAGCTTCCATGAAGACAAAGATCTCTCTAAATAAATGCTCAGGCATTTGCAATCCTGCAAATGCTGCTCAGCACCTCTGTGCCAGCCACCATTCCCTCATGGGACAGCGGAGCAGGAGAAAACGCTTTGTGTTTCCTATCTTCAGCTGAAAGGGAGGGACTGCAAAGCCCACCGAGCTGTCAAATACACAGCACCTGAAGTTCTGCAGTCTTTATATATACACATAAAGTATACAGGTATACTTTRTATATACACATATACATGTATGTGTGCATATGTTTGCATAGAAATTGCATTCATGCATTCAAATACAGATGCACACGCTACATTAAAATCTTTCAGTCCTTCACATACCTGGCTGGGATGGGTTGTGAAGGCTAAAAATGAGTCGAGGTATTTTCCAAAGTTGGCTGGTGTTTCCACCTCAGAATCTGAGCCCTGTTGGGAAGACAAACAATTTCAGACTAACCTCACGTCACACCAGGTCACAGGTGGTAGGTCTCCAAGCAAAGCAGGTGCTATATCCAGCACCAGAGATTGCAAGGAAGGGGAGAAGAAACCACAGCAGAACAGATGCCCAGATCCCAACTCATTACTTCATTAGATCCCAACTCATTACTTCATTACAGAGAACAAAGTCACCATTGCTGGAAGTAACTACCCCTCCTGTTTGCTGTCCATTCTCGCTAGGATTACCGCGGCATCTGCCCCCTCCCTCGCCCCAAGCCCCAAAGGCTCCTTTTTGTTTCTGTGAGGCCTTACTCTGCCCTACCACTTCCCATAGCCCAGCTGCCTCGGCCTCCCCACAGCCAGCCCCTCTCCAGGAGCCTGCCTCCCTTGCGTGTGCCGAGGTGGGCAGAGAGGGAAGGGCCCTTGGTGGCAGCACAGCGCTCCCATCACCACTGAGCACCTGCCTCTCAGCACCCACACAAAGGGCAGAGAAGGAGGAACAGCAGGAAGACAAGAAGTTTTCTCAYGGCTTGACAGAAGAACAAACAGGGAGGCTCTTTTGAGTGTATCTAGTGTGGAAATTTAAAAGGCTTCCAACACAGGAGCAATTTTGTTAAGTAGCTCTCCTGCAGCAGGAGAGACAGCAACAAAGCTAAACCATTTTCAGTAATGTTGCATCATTTCACAAAGGTATCCCAAGATGACTCTTGGTGACAGCACAGGCCTGGAATGAGGCGTTGTCCCCTCCATTCTACATTCCTAAGACCTGTCAGGATGCAGTCACCCCAGCACCAAGCAAACCAATTTCTGCCTCTTCCAAATGTGTGGAGAGAACCCTAKGGCTCTGCAGCCAACCACACTTAGAAGAGGATTGCCTCATTCCCAGGCCTCAAGCCCAGCCTTGCCAGGACTGCTGCTGGAATTAGTACTTAGTGCTAGAATTAGCAGACACTTACCAGCAGCGCRCAGAGCTGGCTGCCCAGCGCACACAACACTTGGCAAAGTCGCTTCAAGAAAACGTAGTGCTTCTCCACCAGGCCCTCCCCATCTGCTGTCCTGGGAATGAGGAGAGTGGGAAATACAGGGYGGCAGTTACACAGGCTGTGAGAGATGGGCACGCTGCTATCTTGTAGAGAAAAAGAGCACTGGAATRATTTAATTTTATCTCAGTGGAATTTCCTACTAATGACACAATAGTTTAATTAAAGTCTAAACTTTCTAGATTTGGCTCTCTCTCAAAGCCCCTCCTGACCAGGTGGTGGCCAAAAGAGAGAGCTGGGGAAGCCGAGATACTCGCACCACTTTGTTCTTCAATTAGAGAATTCAGCAAAAATGCAGATTTTCAGGTTTTACAAAAAGAGTGGTTTTGTTCTTTCCTAATCTAATCCCAGCTTCTCGTAGTTGAGCAGCAAGGTTACAAATGGAAGGCTGTTTGTAGGCAGTTTTGTGGGAAATTAAGAGCAGCAGGATGGTACTCACTGGGCAGCGGAGAGAATGTAGTGCATGGCAACGTCTCCAAACAGGACCATCAGGGGCTTCCGATCCTCCAGCTTCCCCTACGCATGAAGTAAGATAAACATCTCAGAACATGACTGTTTCTTCCCATTTGCAAGTGGAGACGGAAAATTTCTAGGTGTTCTTCCATCCAGGGATGGGGTTTCTTTCCACTGGTGACCTCAGTAAAAAGCACGACTAAAAAATATCTAATGCATTCTTGATTTCAAGCATTTTCTCCAGCTCCTAACACCACAGGGGCTTCAGGCTGAAAAACATCCTCACACATGAGTTCTTCACTGCATCACACTTTTCTCCGCTGCAGACTGGCTCGTTATTTAAAGGCAGCTGATGAACAGTCAGCCTAGACATTAAGGCTCTTGTAAACACAGAGGATCACAGCACCTTTTAYGTCCTGTTATCACTGCTTGAGGCACTAAACTGAAAGGTGACACAGCTAGGTGACAATATTTTGCATCCTTCTCCAGTCATAGAAAGCACCAAGGAGGAGAACAAATCAGTGGGGATCCCCAATTTCAAAGCTGTGAAGAGAGGCAGGCACAGATGCTAAAGAGGGTTCCAGCAGCTACTCTATGTATTGTACCGGTGTGACACTCACTCTAAAAGCCATTAACCTGAGCAGCCAAAAATAAGAGCTTTATTTCCTTAAATAAATGCACAAAGACACCCTTGCTTAACCTGAAGAAATACAGAGGAGAGAAGGAGTGGGGAAAAGAAGTGTGTGTGTGTGGGGCGGGGGGCAGGATGCCAAAGAGGCAAGAAGAAAACTCACTTTTCTGCTGACAGCAATCAGGAGACACTCAGCTGCTCCTACTTGGAGCTCAGGTTCATTCAGGAGCAGACACAACATCTCAAGGAGCTTGCAGTTGTCTGCTGTGATGTGGCTCAGGGCCACCCAGTCAATGTAGCCAGCCAAGGTGTTGAGTGCTGCAATCCCCACACGGCAATTGGCCTGGGCCTGAAAACAGAGCGGAACCAAGAGGTCAGAGCCAAGGAAAACATCCACTTCCCCCTAAAGCTGCCCATTCCCCATGGGGCAACATCAGAGGTGCCCTGAGAGACAGAGGAGTCAGCAAAAGGGTGCATGTCCTCACGCTAAGGGGCAAGGACTGGGCATTCCTCCTCTCATGCACCTCTCATGTCACCAGAAGAATTTATACTATGGGCAGGTGGACAAGCCAGGAGCAGACCCYGCAGTCTGGCAGAAGAGCATTTCGGACCAACCTTACGAGTGGCTACAGCACTGACCCTTACACAGCTGCACTCACCTTCGGCTCCTGATCCAGATCAGCCTTCTGGAAAAGAAAATAAGAGAGGGCAGGTGAGCAGCTACAGCAGCCACTGCCACCACCCACCGCTGCACGGGCCTGCGCTCGAGAAAGCAGCTTCACGGAGCAGTTCCCTGGTGAAAGAGGCTGCAACGTTGCCTGCAGCTCAGGACATCATTGCAGCCAGCACAGCCACCTCCACAGCCCCACGGCACATAAGACAACCAAACTTTCAATATTAAGGTTGGCCACAATTTCCTTTTCATCCAAAAGATGACAAGGCAGGCACCAGGGGAGGCACAGGGCACAAGAAGGAGAGGCACCTCATTGCTTCCTGGAAACTTCCAGGGGAGATGCTTTTATCTTTTCAGAGCATCCTACATTGAAGAACTAGTCTCCGAAAGATGCAGGTGGYTTCTGCTCCGTGAGAGTGATGTGTGGAATGGTAATGATTGGGTCCACGGTCAGGAAGGCAGCAGGTGAAAGCTGGGGCAAGAGCTTAGGGCCTGCCTTGCAGCCCCAAAGACCCAGCTGCAGCACCGTGCTGCTTGAGCCAGCTTTTCCCTAAGTGCTGCAAAGGCAGTGTGGCTGCCACGGACGCTCAGGTTCCATCAGCGCCTCACATTCAAAGACACCACAAGTGCATCTTCCTGCTGCAAGGGCTTGGTTTGGAAGCTCTGTCCACCAACATATTCTGGGCAGTGAATTTAAGTCACTCTGCGCCTGGACCATTTAACACCGAGCCATGGGAGCAGAACTGCATTCTTAACCACAGATGATGGTCTTGGGGAGCTGCACGTGGCCTCCAGCAGTGCCAGTGTACAGACCTGCAACTGAACACCCAACCCTCACGATTTACCCTGCATGAGGGTTCACGAACATCCCAAAGATCTGCTAACCTGTGGAGTGGTGAGGGCTTCTTGTTCCTGGGGTGCTCCAACCTTGCCAATCAGAAAGATTCCACCGTTAGCAGAAGCAGCCACACTTCAGAGCCTCAAGCACTGCAATTCAAACCTTCCCTGGAAATGCATTTCAGCCAGACTACAGAACGCACCAGGGTTCCCCACCCACCACCATGAACTGCCTGCTCTACAGCAGGATTTGTTCAGTCTGTTAGTGCAGCAGGAAAGCAGCGAGAAATCAGCGAGGGACAGACTCTTCCATTGCCTCCCAGCTTCACCTTTAGTGCAGCTCCAAAAAAAGAAAAAACAAAACAAAACAAAAACAAAAACAAAAAAAAAGAGAAGTACACATATGCAACTACTACTAGCCTGGTTTTTGCTATATGCTTCACTTTCTCTGATCTAACTCCTCATGAGAACAGCCTGGAGTAGAGATCTGCCTTCACCTTCTATCTTGGCCAACTAGAATGCCTCTAACACCAAGTAAGAATTCAGGAAAGAAGGGGCTGCTTTAGGAAACCCTCTTCTTGTCAATACGTGCAGAGGAAGGCTCTTGCCTTGTGCCTTACCTGAGTTCTAGACAGACCCAGAAACAATGCTGAGACACGAGACACCAGAAACACACACATCTTGGTGCATCAACGTGAGTAGGTAACTGCAGCAAAGGATGGTGGAAATAACTGCCCAGGATGAAATCTCTTTACCAACACTGTTGCCAAAGCTACCTTGAATCTACCTGTTTCTGTTACAGCCACAACTTCACACTTGCTCAGCTGTACCCCCACGTGCYGGCCGGATGAACTGCCCAGCAAGCACAATGCACACATTCACTCAAGAGATTTACACAAGCCAAACTATCAGTGTCMCTCCTGTCACCTTGGGCACTCATATTTTCTGATCAGCACAGGCTTCCTAGGTCACAGCAGATACAGTCACAGATTTCAGACAATTTCCAGCACAGGTTTCCTAGAGGATTCTCAAGCTCCTAAAAGCCTCCAGCACTGACTGAACCCAAGGAAAGGAGCCTCTTACCATGCGCCTGTATTTGTTGACATTCTGCTGCAAGGCAGTAAGGAGGAAGTTGAAGATCTTCTCCATGTTCTGGGTGAGTGTTTGCTGGATATCTCGTCGCCGCTGGGTAGGCAGCGTTTGAAAAGTCACCACGTCCTCCGCCAAGCGCAGCAGGATGAACATCACCAGCTCTGTCTGCGTTTCCTGACGTYGCAAAAGGAAACACACTCCGTGAGCCCAGCTGAAACATTAAAACCTTAAGAGACCAGCTGAGAGGTGACAAGAGAGAGAACTTTTATGAAAACACAAGCAATTGCTTGTGGAAACAGACAGAAGGTCTACCACAGCTGAAACCATCTCGTAGTCTCCTACAGGAATATTTGAGCCTACCTTGCTCAAAAATGACCTAGGCTTTCTTCAGGATGGCAGAAGACCAAAAGCTACCCCATGGCCAGTGGAAGAGCACAGACAGGTTTGTTTCCTACCCCTTGCTTGGAGAGGGTATCCAGTTCCATCAGCATATCAGGCCAGTGCTGCGGCCACTCACGCTTGATCATCTCCACCACAATGCGAGACAGAACATCCTTAATGTGACTTTCCTCCTCTAGGATGCTTTGAGTGCCCTGTGAGAGACAGAGTTATGTCAGCAGCAAAACCCACGGCATTCATCTTTCTGAGACGGGAGGCAGAGTGGCTCAAAATATTCTGGATGGCTTCAAAGGGAAGAAAAACAAACAACGCATCAAAACCCAAACAAAGCCCAATCTGTCATCACAAGCAGCTCTTGATCCCAGCTACCTTGAAGGGCACTCCCATCCTCCCATATGGCCACAGCTAGTGAATTGTGGGCATCAAGAGGATTTTCCTGAAAGGACGGTCACTTGGTCCTGAGAGCAATTTCATCTATATCATATAAAGGTCTTTAGCATCCTTRCAAAGGACCAGAGTGTTCACGTTACTGAACATCCTTCTAAGAAAAACAGAAGCAGCTTAAACATCTCATGAAAGCCTCCCAATTCCTTGCCATTTGAGGTGGCAAGGCTATCCTGCACACAAGCTGAATAAGACACACATAAATGTGGTGGAACAGTCTAGGCCACACTGTAAGAAGGTAAAGAAACACAGACTGAACTCAGGCCCTCTCTGGTAACTCATTAGAAGGGATTTCCTCTCTCTCTTCTTTTTTTTCCCTTCCATTTTCACTCCCAATTTCCATCCCCAAGAGAATAATTCCTTAGAGGACAGTGCAGGAGAAGAAGGTACTCACACTGGAGATGAGGCTCATGACGTTATTCTTTAGGTAAACCTTCTCCAGGCGAGGCATGTTGTTCCAGCGGAACCTGTCCAGTAAAATAAAGAAATATATAAGACACAACAACAAATCAAAACACTTACAAAGATCTCTACTCGATTCTCAATGAACTTTCACTTCTTTACCTAAATTATAGAGGACAACATTCTACAACTCCAAGTGCTGCCAGTGTTCAACCTCTCTTAATGAAAACATTGAGTTAAAATTACTTCTAGCAAATGGGTGGGCGTTGCTGAGGYCAACAGGCGTGAAAAGTGGCAGCAAAACCACAGAGCGTCAGGTCTGCAGTAGTCAAAGAGCAATCCCAGAACTTAACTAACACGAGCACTACTGGTTAATGTGAGCCTAATGACAGGGATCCCTGCAAAGACYGACCCTTTGCACCTACTTACATTCTGCAACATTAGTGTGTCTTAGAGCTCTGACTTAGCCTATGCATACCTCCCGAAGGCTGTTTTCTCCACTCCTTGTTTTACGGAGGAGAAAACAAACACCGAGCAGGGCAGCACCTGGCACCTGCAGCAGAGCAGGCTCTGTGCCCGCGCCAGGAGGCGACGGCTGGCGTGGAGCTCCCTTGCTTGACCGCAGCTCCGGGATGGAGCTCCCTTGCTTGACCGCAGCTCCGGGATGGAGCTCCCTTGCTTGACCGCAGCTCCGGGATGGAGCTCCCTTGCTTGACCGCAGCTCCGGGATGGAGCTCCCTTGCTTGACCGCAGCTCCGGGATGGAGCTCCCTTGCTTGACCGCAGCTCCGGGATGGAGCTCCCTTGCTTGACCGCAGCTCCGGGATGGAGCTCCCTTACTTGACCGCAGCTCCGGGATGGAGCTCCCTTRCTTGACCACGTGCTCCAGGATCTGGAGGCCGAAGTGCCGCACGATGGCCGACTGTGTCTTCTCGGCCAGCTTGAGCCCGCAGGGCACGCAGATGGGGCACTTCTCCTTGAACTCCTCGCAGAACTGGGGACGGAAGGAGCCGGCGGGCAGCGTGAGAGCGGGAGGGCAGCGCTGGGGGGATAACGGCGAGGGAGGGAGCGCACAGGGAAGGGTGGGAGGTCCGGAGAGATGGGGGGACGGAAAGGAAAGGACCCCTGCAGGAACGGGGCGGGGGAGGGACCCCGAGCAGGGGGAGGAGACGGGAAGGGGCCCTCCAGAAGTGCGAGGGGTGAGGGAAGGGTGGGGAAATCCAGGGAAATGGACAGGGGGAAAGGAGCCCCTCCAAGGCAGGTGAGGGGGGGAGGAGGAGTACACCCCCCCACACCCGACTCCCCAGGGAAAGCGGGGGGAGAGGAAACCTGGGGAAGCGGGAATAGAGGGGGGAGCGCAGGGAGGCCCCCCGCCCGCCCTCCGCCCCCGCAGCGCCCCGGGGCGCGGGGCGGGCCCCGGACGGGGCACCCGCTCGCGGCCAGTACCTTGAGCGCCTCCAGGCGGTAGCGCTGCGTGGAGGCCGGGTCCATGATCACCGTCACCGCCTTCACGAGCTGCTCGCACAGGCTGCTCACCTGCTCGGCGGACATGGCGGCCACC